TTTCTCCTGCTCCTCCTCCTCCTCCTCCTCCTCCTCCTCCTCCTCCTCCTGCTCGTCCTCGTTCTCGTCCTCCTCGTCTTGCTCGTCCTCCTCCTGCTGGTGCTCTCTCCTCCTCCTCCTCCTCCTCCTCCTCCTCCTCCTCCTGGTGGTCCTCGTTCTCCTCCTCCTGGTGCTCTCCCCCCACCTCCTCCTCCTCGTCCTCCTCCTCCTCCTCCTCGTCCTCCTCCTCCTCTTCCTCCTCCTCCTCCTCCTCCTCCTCCTCCTCCTCCTGGTAGTCCTCCCCCTCCCCTCCTCCTCCTCCTCCTCCTCTTCCTGGTCGTCCTCGTTCTCGTCCTCCTCGTCTTGCTCGTCCTCCTCCTCCTGGTGTTCTCTCCTCCTCCTCCTCCTCCTCCTCCTCCTCCTCCTCCTCCTCCTCCTCCTCCTCCTCCTCCTCCTCCTCCTCCTGGTGGTCCTCGTTCTCCTCCTCCTGGTACTCTCCCCCCCCTCCTCCTCCTCCTCCTCGTCCTCGTCCTCCTACTCCTCTACTCCTCCTCCTCCTCCTCCTCCTCCTCCTCCTCCTCCTCCTCCTCCTCCTCCTCCTGGTACTCCTCCCCCTCCTCCTCCTCCTCCTCCTCCTCTTCCTGGTCGTCCTCCTCCTCCTGGTCGTCCTCCTCCTCCTGCTCGTCCTCCTCCTCCTCCTGCTCGTCCTTCTTCTCCTGCTCCTCCTGCTCCTCGTCCTGCTCCTGCTCGTCCTCGTCCTCCTGGTCTTGCTCGTCCTCCTCCTCGTCGTGCTCTTGCCCCTGCTGAAAATGTGGCCCAGGAATGGGAGTTCTGGGAAGTCGAAGAGCACGAAGTTGCCTACAGTTGGCTACGGGCATTCAAAATGTGGCCCGGGAATGGAGTTCTGGGAACTCGAAGAGCACGAAGTGGCCTACAGTTGGCTCCGGGCATTCAAAATCATGCCCAGGAATGGAGTTCTGGGAACTCGAAGAGCACGAAGTGGCCTACAGTTGGCTCCGGGCATTCAAAATGTGGCCCGGGAATGGAGTTCTGGGAACTCGAAGAGCACGAAGTGTGTGACTGTTGCATACGGCCCTCCAGAATGTGGCCCGGGAATGGCGTCTGGGATGTCGAGAGCACGAAGTGTGTGACTGTTGCATCCGGTTATTCTAAATGTGGCCCGGGAATGGCGTTCTGGGATCTCGAAGAAGAGCACGAAGTGTGTGACTGTTGCATCCGGTTATTCAGAATGTGGCCTGGGAATGGAGTTCTGGGAAGTCGAAGAGCACGAAGTGTGTGACTGTTGGTGAAAAACGAGCCCGGCACCTGCCGCCCGGCAACTCCCAACACCTGCCCGGACCCCCCTGTGGAGTGATCTGCTGCTCTCTTTTGATCCCACTAGAAACCTATCAGTCTTCGCTGTTAGGTAAAATGTGGCAAAGGCTCTCTGCTTAGCACGCCGCACATTCGTTAAAAATAAAAGGGTTTCAAGGATTTAGGGCGGGTCGTTTTCAAAGTGTGGCTCTCGCCTGCGCAGCGAGCATTCGTTTTGAAAATTGCAAGAGCTTCAAGGATTGAGGGCGGGTGGCTTTCAAAATGTGGCTCTCGCCATAGCGCGGCGCACAGCCGTTCTAAAAAATTGCAAGTGCTTCACGGATTGAGGGTAGGCGGTTTTCAGAGTGTACCTCTCGCATTAACGCGGCGTACCTTTATTGAAAAGTATTGCAAGAGTTTCGCTGAGGACGGTTCCTTTTCAACATGGGGCTCTCGCCTTAGCGCGGCACATATTCGTTCTAACATGTGCAATGTTTCACGGGTTCCCATCATCAACGTGCCAGAACAGAAAAAGTGTTTTGAAAAGATTCCAGAATATGCGTGCGCAACAATTATGTTGGTTCGCTGTGTTGCAATTCGATGAATGGTGCTCGGGCACGATTCAGAATCATCAAGACGCAACAGTCAGGTTGATCCGTGGCGTTGGACTCCCGAGAACAATGTTTTGGCACGCTTCAGGATCTTAAAACGTCTTCCAAAAAGGCGGTTCCTTCAATGGAAATGAACCGTTGCTGGGGCCTACGAAGAGGGAGCTTGCAGCATCGTTGATGACTCTTGGATTTACGGCGGTCCTCCTCCTCCTCCTCAACCTCCTCCGCCGCCTCCTCCTCCTCCCCTTCCTCCTCCGCCTCCTCCGCCTCCTCCTCCTCCTCCTCCATCCTCCTCCCTCCTCCTCCTCATCCTCCTCCTCCTCCTCTCCTCCCTCCTCCTCCTCCTCCTCCTCCTCCTCCTCTCGCCCCCCTCCCTCCCCTTGCCCCCCCATCCCCCTGCCTCAGGCCCCCCCGCGGGTGCCCCGCCTGCCGCGCCTCCTCGGTGAGGCGCGCCCGCAGCTGCGTCGCCTCCTCCTTGGAGCCGCCCTCAAGGATCAGCTTGGCGCACCAGCGCGCGATCCTCTCGCTGGCGGCGAGCGCGGGGGAGGGGAAATAGGAAGGAGAAGGCCTTCTCAGAAGGCGGCGGAACTTCTCCGAAACCCTCGCGCCTCCCGAGAAGCTGTTTGTCTTCGGGGAGGGCCTAGGGAACTTCTCGGGAGGCGCGAGGGCTCCTGAGAAGTCCCGCCGCCTTCTGAGAAGGCCTTCCCCTTCTCGCTTCCCCGCCTCGCTCACCGCCGATTTCGGCGGCGCGCAGACTGCGCGCGATGACGGGGCCGACGCGCGACCAGGGAGCGGACTGGCCCTGAAGCTGCACGTGCAAACCGGGGGCCTGTTGGTGCCCGCCGCCCTCCGACGGTTGCCGGACACCCCCGGCAGTCTCCGGTGGGTCTCGGACGTTCCCGGTGGTCGCCGAAGGGTCTTCTGCGACAAAGCTGCGCGGCAGCATTCATCGGGGGGTCCATGATCGAATGCCCCACGGCGGGGCCTGAGGGCGAGCAAGGATGGAGAGTCTCGGAAGCGATCAGACGACGGACCATCTGAAGGAAGCGAGAGTGAGGGCCTTGAGCTTGCCTTTGGAATCCAGCACCTGAAAGTCTGCAGCCATGAGGTGCGCAACGCTAGAGAGGGAAACAACATAGACGGACAGAGAGGAGGAGAGGGATGATAGGCTTTCAGGGGAGGGGTGAGAATCTTGGACGTGTCCCTGGAGTCCCTAAGGTTTGCGGCCCGAGAGTGCCTTCCATCAGCTGCACCGCGTCGAGAGCCTTTCCGGGAGCGCGGAATCGACCGTGCCCGATGTACGCCCCCCCCCCCGAAAAAAAAGACTGCAGGGAGGAGGAGCCCTGACATCCAGACGTGGTGACGAATCACGACGGTCGGCTCCGCGCAGGGGTGACCGTTGTCAGTGGGGACCTTCGGTGCGCTGCTGTTTGGGTCTGGTGTGGGGGAGGGGGGGGCGGTGCCAATAGCAAGGAACCACGCCACGAAACCGATCGCAAAACCCAGCATCGTCATCAGCACGACGCCCACAACAGAGGCAGCCAGCCACCGGAGCCCTGTTCAACTGAGGCCAGGAATGCGCTTCCCCACATCATGAATCACGGCGAGCAAGGAACGGACGAATCGATGCAGGAGTGCGCCGGGAGCGCAGCCCAGCCTCTCGGCGAGCCGCTTCAGTCTCGCCTCGGCCCAAAGGCTGCTCCTGGATTTGTCCTGGGGGGGGGGGGGGGGGCTTCACCTCCTTCGTCCTCACGGCAGCTCTCCCTGAGCAGCCCTCGACCTCCTCCTGGCGACCCCGTCGGTGGGTGGGGGAGGCGACCCCCCTCCCCGAGCAAGCGCCTTGACGTTCCCTCGTGGGGCGACGGGGGAGGCAACCTCGATAGGGGGACGGGCCGCCGGCTGCGGAGGCAACTTGACCTCGCCCATGTAGTACAGGCGGGGCTTTGACCTAAGGAACCCTAAACAAGGAAAGAGGCTCCTTTTCTCCATGATCGACATGTCGCTTCGATGTCCCATCCAAAACCTGAGGAAAGCCGAAGGCAAACTGCAGAACCATTAAGGAACACTGAGCCCCTCCCCAACGAAAAAAGCTCCTTCTCCAGCGCCCCGAATGTAGCATGTAAGGCTGCACGTCGCGTGCACCCCTGGGCGCTCGCCTGGACGAGGTGCAGACGCCTTCGCATCCCAGGCGTCGGCCGTCGGCCTGCGGCGACTGGGGCTGGCCCAAGCCCCCCCTCATGACTCGGGGTGAGCGGAACGGGGCGCGTCCAAGTTCTCCTGGTAGCTCACGCCCCTGGGCCCCTTCCGAGGCGGGGGCGTACGGCAACGCTGGCTCGGGGGCGCCTCGCTCCTCAGCCTTGCAGGCCTCGGCATCCAAGCCGCCCCAGGGACGGGGCGCCTCACCCTCGTCCTCGTCGGCGTGCCCGCGCCGAGCGATCGCCCTCCAGGTGAACCACATCGTCGGCATCATCTCGAGCGTGGCCGTGTGAGCCTCACACGGCCGCGCTCGAGATGGCGCTGCGAGGCATGCTCGTCGCAGCTGGCGCCGCGAAGCCCGCCGAGGCTCCGACGCCGAGCGCGGCGCCGAGCCACCCCGCGGAGCCGACGAGAGCCAAACTCTGGCAGGGGCGCGCTCCAGCGAGAGGGCGTGCCGCATCGCGCAGGGCCCTCTCCGTCGCGCGGCCCTCCCGGGCTGGCAGCAGTCAGCTGACCTGCCTCGGCGCGCGGGCGCAGGCGCGCGGGCGCGCGTGCTGTGGCCCCGCCCGCTCCCCCTGCCGAGACTGGGACCGCGGGGCCAGCACACTTGGGCAAATACTGCGACTCCAGGCCCTCAAGGAGGAGGAGAAAGACGGACAGGACGAGGGGCAGACCTCGCCGTGTGGGCAAAACCCCGTGTCATTAGCAGAAGATGGAGAAGAAGAAGAAGAAGAAGAAGAAGAAGAAGAGGAAGAAGAAGAAGAAAAAGAAGAAGGAGGAGGAGGAGGAGGAGGGGGAGGAGGAGAAGAAGAAGAAGAAAGAGGAGGAGGAGGAGGAGGAGGAGGAGAAGAAGAAGAAGAAGAAGGAGAAGAAGAATAATGATAAGAAAACGCATACACATAAGCTTTCGGCGCGCCGCGCGGATTTCTTGGATCTGCGCTGGGCCCCCCTCCGTGGCGCGCGGAGCGCGCCAGGGGCGGCGACGGCTGCGCCGCCGTGGGGGGCCCAGCGCGAAGCCAAGAGATCCGCGCGGAACGCCAACGAGTTTATGCTTGTGGCGTTTTTTGTTCTTCGATGACAAGGAGGGGGAGGAGGAGGTCGGGGAGGAGGAGGAGGATGGAGGAGGAGGAGGAGAGGGAGGATGAGGACGGAGGAGGAGGAGGCGGGGGAGGAGGAGGAGGATGGAGGAGAGAGGAGGAAGGAGGAGGGAGGAGAGGAGGAGGAGGAGGAGGAGGTGGGACGGGGAGGAGGGAGGGTTATGGAGGGGGGAGGAAGGGAGATTAAGGGAGGAGAGGAGAGGGAGGAGGAGCAGGAGGAGGAGGAGGAGGAGTGGAGGAGGAGGAGGAGGAGGAGGGGAGGGAGGGGGAGGAGGGGGAGGGGGGGGAGGAGGGGGAGGAGGGGGAGGAGGAGGAGGAGGAGGGAGGAGGAGGAGGAGGATGGAGGAGAGAGGAGGAAGGAGGAGGAAGGTGGAGGAGGAGGAGGAGGAGGAGGAGGGGGAGGAGGTGGAGGAGGAGGAGAGGAGGAGGAGGAGGAGGAGGAGGAGGAGGAGGAAGAGGAGGAGGAGGAGGAGGAACAGGAGGGGGAGGAGGAACTGGCACCTGCGAGACCCACAACGGAGCCCCCGACTACACCGCAGCCCCCTGGAGCTGTCATGTGAGGCAAAGGGCAGGAAGGAAACGAACGTGCAGAACGACAGAGGGGGCATGAGGAGACCAGGAGGAGAGGGGCGGCGGGAGAGCTCGCGCACGCTCTGGCAGGAAAGGGCGGTCCTCATCGCCGCCTCCTGGCTCCCAGCCAAGCCCGAGGTGACCTGGAACGCCGGCAGCCCCTGCACATTCCTGAGCTTCGCCCGGAGGTTCTTCTCGTCCCACACCACAGCACGCCACGCTTCGTGCTCCTCGGGGACCTCCGAGCTGCCAGGCCCATCGACCCGCGGCATCACCGGGCGGCGGGCGCGGCCTCTCCGAGGGGTGCACACGATCCGTCTGCACACGTAGACGTACGAATTTGCAAACGTATGCATTTGTCTGAGTATGCTGAAGGGGCCCCAGGACACACAAATAAATACACACACACCATATGTTCATATATTTTCTTGGTTTTTGTCTTCCCCCCCCCCACTTCCCATATTTTCCCATACTTTCTGGGGAGTCGACGATCAATTGTGTCTGTGTGCTTCTTTTCCTCCTGATATGCATAGACACAGAAACACGCCCATCCACACCTCTCGAGGGCGCCGGCGGCGCAGTACTGGCCGCTCCCTGGGCAGGTGGCGAAGTGGTGCACCACAGCGAGAGCCACGACGCGGCTAGTCGCGACGCTCTCGAGACCCTCCTGAGACATCGTGAGCCCAGGGGGGGCGAACGCCGCCAGCAGGGCGTGACCTGCCCAAAGGGAAGCTCGGGCCCGGCGGGTCCGCGAGGGACGGGGCCTCACGGGAGGGACTTCAGCGGCGGAGGAGGAGGAGGAGGAGGAGGAGGAGGAGGAGGAGGACGAGGAGGAGAGGAGGAGGAGGAGGAGGAGGAGGAGGAGGAGGAGGAGGAGGAGGAGGAGGAAAGTCTCCACGGGGCGCTGGCGAATCCCACCAGCCCTCTGGGCGTTGGTGGTTTAGAGCGTTTCCTCTTCCACCCCTCCCTCTTCCCCTTCGGGGAGGGGTTTACCCCTCCCCCTACCCCCTCCCCACTGACCTGGACAGGAGGGGCGGGGAGCGGTCAGAGCGTCCAAAACGGCCTCGGCGAGGAAGCCAAAATTATTGATTTTACTATGGTTTGGGCCATTTTGGCCTTACAGGGGGGCAAGCTAATTAAGGCTTCCCTCTTCTTTGATCGATTCCCTCCACGATAGGCCGCAAAGAGGCAACAGATGCCCCAAGGAGGCCGCAGGATGGCAAGATGTCCCCAAGATGCCCCCCAAGAGGCCCCAGGAGGCCCCCACAGAAGACCCCCGAGATGGCCCAAGAGGACCACCCAGAGGCACAAGGTGCTCCAGAGCCCAGATGGCCCAAGATGCCCCAAGGAGGCCCCCAGGAGGCCCCAAAGAGGATCCCGAACGGCCCACAGAGGCCCCCCCGAGGCACCCAAGACGCCGAAAAGCCCCTCAGGACGACCCTCTACTCGCCTGGGCGTCGTTTCTGGACGGGCTGGTGGGGATTTGTTTATATTTTTTACAGCCGCAGGCGGAAGCACCAGCGGCAGGCGGTCACGGTCGGGCTGCGGCCGCGACAAGGGGGCGGGCGCGCGCGGGGCCGCGGTCAGGCGGCAAGCAGTAGCGACCCAGGGCGTCTGAGCCAAACGTGCAGTCCAGGGAGTCTGCAACTGGTGGGGATACGCGAAGCGTCTAGAATTGCCCCAAAAACGCTCTGGCAGAGCGGTCCCGAACGGCCACCGCTGCAGGCGGAAGCGGCCGGATCAAAAAGGGCTTCGCCCTCTGCCGCCGCCCCGCGCCCTCTGAAGTTCCATCGTTTCGGCACGTGGTGGCGCACACGCGGGCTGGTACGAAGCTGTGCAGCCTACGAAGGGGATGATGCAGGAGACATAGGCGAGCTAGGAGGAGAGGCATCCACAGAGGAGAGGGAGAAGAGGAGGGTAGGAAAAAGGAGGGCGAAATCGAGAATCCTCACAGAAAGGAGAAGGGACCAAATACAAACAAAAAGAGAGGGGCTCATGGTTTGTCGCGAACGGTTTGACCGTCGTCGGAGAGTGTCGTGTAAATACTGGCGCTAATTCAGAGCTGGCTCGTGCACGTCATGTTGACATAACGGGCCGAATATGATGAAGGCGGAGAGGAGAGGAAGCAGAACAAGGGGGAACATAAAAGGAGGCGAAGGAACATAGAACGAAACATAGAAGGAAAATGGACAAGAGACTGCTTCAAGGATTGTTGTGGACGTGTTAGCCGTGCTAAATTTGACTGGTTCAGGGCTTGGTCGTGGAAGCTGTGGCTACTTCGCCTTGCACACGTTGATATGTTCAGGGCTGGGCCGTGCACATCATGGTAGGGTCCAAATTTGCCGTGTTTAGCCGCGCCGCTCGTCGCCACAAGGCCTCAAGCAGAACGAATGATGCTGGCGTCGGAAACGCGGTTCTGTTGTAAGTTACCGAGCAGTGTGGCCTGGGGAGCGCGCATCTGCAGTAATGTAATAGGAATGGCGGCCTACAGAGCGCGCATCTGTTGAAATGTACTGGGAACGGTGACCTGAGAGCACACATGCGTAGTAACTTACAAAGGATTGTGGCCTCGGGAGCACGCATCTCTTTTAATCTACGGAAGGGGGTGTGGCCTCGGGGGCGCACATCGGTCGCAATCTTGCCACAAGATACAATGTCCTCGGAAGCGCGCATCCGTAGCGATTTACCCAAACTATATTTCTGCAGATTCGAAGAAGCTCCAGATCGGGGTGGAAACGTAACGCCCCTGTGGCACAGGGATGACACGCGTTCTATCAACCTACGGGGTACCAGAAAGCGAAGATCTGAAACCCTGGAACCAAGGGACCGAAGACTAGCACTGGGGGGCCCCTCACAAGGGGAACGAGCAATGACACAAATATAAACACTCGGAGGTCCGCGCGGACTTCTCGGATCGGCGATGGACCCCCCCCCTCCCTGGCGCGCGGAGCGCGCCAGGGGCGGCGCCGGAGGCGCCGCCAGGGTGAAGTCGGGCCTGTCCCCCTACAGGGGGATTTTCGACGAAAAATAACAAATGCCCCAAAAATATTCCTATAAGTTCAAAAACACTTTACAAATAGTCCCCAGACTATTTTTGGACTATTCTATTTGTTGGCTATTTTGGGGGTATTTTTTGCATCCTTCGTCGAAGATCCCCCCGTAGGGGGACAGGCCCGACTTAACGCCAGGGGGGTCCAGCGCCGACCCGAGACGTCCGCGAGGACCTCCGGGTGCTTCTGTGTTGATGTCGTGGCTCGCTCCCCTTATGAGGGGGGCCCCTCGAGGATGCGCGCGGGCACCAGCTCTGGACGCCGGCTCTCGCAGGGGGCGAAGGCGGGGTGCACGAGCATCTTCGGGGACTCCTTGCGGGGCCCCTCAAGGATGGGGGGCCCCGTTCCCCTCTTGGGGGGCCCCTCAAGGCTGCGGGGCCCTTAGGGTTATGTCGTTGCTCGTTCCCCTGCCGGGGGCGGCCCCTCGAGGACGCGCGCGGTCACCAGCTCTGGGCGCCGGCCTTCGCAGGGGGCGAGGGCGAGGTGCACGAGCATCCCTTGGGGCCCCCCTTGCGGGGCCCCGGATCTGGCCGAGCTCGGCACGTTCCCCCGACACGCCGACCGCAGCATCTCCAGCGGGACTTCCATCGAACGAGAGTTCGGCCAGCGGCAAAATACATGTCATATCTACACAGGGATGGAAAAACGACCCTACCCTGGGTCACAAGTGCGTGGTTTGTGAGCCTCCTGGGAACCCCCAAAGCCTAGAGCCGCCAGGACGCGGCACATCACGCAGGGTTTACCCTGTCAGCCCACAGGAGATTCAGCGCACAGCGCCTCGTAAACCTGGGTAGGGGCGTTTTTTTATGCCCTTGAGATATATGTATCCTACGAGCACTGGACACATGTACATACACACACACACACACACACACACACACACACGCGTAACAGATGCAGAACTGGAAGATGGCCTGGACAAGAACAATGACAAGCATGGAGCCCAGATGCCCGACTTGGGGTGCACACTCAGTCTCTGGAACAGCAGCGTTGTGGAGCTCGGGCCCGTCGGGTTTCGCAGTGCGCTCGTGAGTCAGTTCGTCACCCCTCGCCATAGCCGCTCCCCTTGTTCGAGCGCTCGAGGTGCCGGTGGGTCCCTCGACTCGAGCGTCCTCCCTACGGGTACTCGTCCCACCTCTCAGAGCCAAGACTACACACTGCCACGACATCTTTGTGTGAATCCGTGTCCACGAAGGAGTGTTCCCACGGAGACACGTGGTCGTGGTCTCGGCCTTCCCTTGTTCCCTCGGGCGCCCCCACAGCGCTCCCCCCTGCCCCCCCAGGGTGGAGCCTGGTATGTTCGCAGCTCGTCTATGGTTCGCCCCCCCCCCCCCATCCCCCCCTTTCCATGGAGGAAGAAGAGGAGGAGGAAGAGGAGGAGGAGGAGGAGGCCCCTAGAGACCCCCTCTCTCGTTCCTACTTGTCCTGTCCATCGCAGCCCCCCTCGCGCGCCAGGGCACGCGTGCCGCTTGTTCTCGCGGTTCGTCCCCGCTCGTGCCTCGTCCAGCCCCCCCTGGCCTCTCGCCCGGCCCACCAGCTCGGAGCCCTTTGCTGTCCCGCACGGCCGCGTTCTGGAGCTCGGGGCCTTCTATTCTTCGTCGTCGCCCCCCCCCAAGTTTTTCTTCGTCGACCCCCCCCCCCTAGGAAGGCACCAACTATACACCAACACCGATCCTGGCCAGGATCACCCTGGGCCCAGGATCGGTGTATACGCCCTCCTGCCTTGGGCAAGAAGGCATATACACCGATCATGGGCCCAGGGTGATCCTGGGCCAGGATCGGTGTTGGTGTATAGTTGGTGCCCTCCGACCCCCCCCCACCCAGAACCCCGAGGACGTACCTCCCCAGGACGGCCCCGAGAAGATTTCAGGAAGGCTCTCCAGGAGGGCCCCCTCTCCACCCTGCTCCTCTCCAGGAGAGCCCCCTCTCCAGGAGAGCCCCCTCTCCAGGAGGGCCCCCTCTCCAGGAAAGCCTCTCCAGGAGAGCCCCCAAAGTTTTTCTTCGTCGACCCCCCCACACCCAGAACCCCGAGGACGTACCTCCCCAGGACGGCCCCGAGAAGACTTCAGGAAGGCTCTCCAGGAGAGCCCCCTGTGCCTCGCCGCTCCCTCGTGCAAGAGTTAGGTCGGGCGTGTCCCCCTACAGGGGGATTTCCTACGAAAAATAACAAATGTCCCAAAAATACTCCAAAAAGGTCAAAAGATACTTTTAAAAAAGTCCCCAGACTATTTTTGGGCTATTT